CCCAACCCTGTGGTGTTTGTTGCCACAAAGGACACCAGGTACATGGCAGCACAGCACTTCCTGATTTACCACAGTAGATCATCAATGCCCCAACTTAACTAAAGTCGGCAGTCTTTAGCACACAGACATGCACAGTCAGCAGGATCACACACAGACGGGTGTCATCAGAGTGACTTGGGTATTACACACAGTGTTAGCTAATTGAAGCATTATTGTGTCAGAGTGGATGTGTGTTCTTATCACTGGTCTCTGTGAACCAGGGCTCTGAGGAAACATCTCACCCAGTCTGAGATGCGCCGGGCAGCAAGGAAACCTCACCTCCTGGTCCGGATCAAACTGCCGCCGCCGCCACGCTCCCTAGCCATGCCCCTCGTCCCCTCCAACACCAGCGAGCCCATCGTCCTGGAGGACTGAAAATGAGGGCTGAGGGTGGTCTTTTAACAGGACATGGGGGTGGGGTGGGCAGTGGGAGGGGCTGTGTTTAAGCCATCACTTATAGGCAGCACAGTACAGCATACAGTAGTCTTCTTTTTTTTTTCCTCCCCCATTTTCAGTGTCATGTTCCTTTTAGTCCTCTTTTACTTCCCATAAGTTAATGTGTTTCTCTCTCTGTCACACACACACACACACACACACACACACACCTATTCAGTAAGCACACATTAAACCCTCAGGGCTCCGGCATACATGCTGAATTGGTCGCCAATGGTAACCCTGCCTCGGCTCCGTACCATTTATACCAGAACTTAGAGTGCAGTGTTGTCCTGAGTGGTAGGCGTCGCCACTATCGGAGGAGAACTCACAACCAGAAGCAGATCATTTTTTAAAGTTTCCAGTCTGTTCTGTGCACTCGGAGGCTCTGAGCTGCTGTGCTCTGGTCATTGAAATAGTGTTAAAATCCAACACACAGCAGCAATGGCACAAATGCTGAGAGGCACGACTGGCTGAAGTGACAGCAGAGCAGCATCTCGTACCAGCAGATGTCACATCAGTTTGTTGTAGAGCAGCAGCCAGCGTGATGGAGCCCTCACACTCACACTTGCCCTGCTTTTAAATGTGTCATTTAAATTCATATATTTTTCTTCCTGAAGCAATGGTGATAAAGCAGACATTGTTTGACTTTCCCGTCTCTTATCTTTGTGTAAATATATGCATCACTGAAGGAGCGACACCCTTACAGGACTGTAGGACAGCTTGAGCAGGCCCAGAGTTTGCCTCGGTTTCAGGATTCCTCTCGAGCCTCCTTTCCTCCATCCTAGCAGAGCAGAATCATCGGGTGGGCTGTGGTGATGGAGGGAAATGTGGTGTTAGTCTGCTCCGTGTTGTAACTCTTTCCATGGCTGCAGTCTGTCATTCAGGCCTGGAAACGTTCAACACACTTGACTTTACGTTCAGTTCTCTCATTTTAGGAACAAACCTCAGAGATGCAGGTGTGCACACCTGTCCACCCACTGGAACGGTGTGTAAATGTCACAGGGTCGGACCTAGACTTTACAAAGACGCAGAATCGGAGCCTCATACAAACCTGTTTCCTTCTTCTGGAGCTCCGTCCATTATTGAACCCTCGGTATCAAAATAAGAGTTTGAGCTGATTGTGTTTACTAACTGAAAACACTGAAGACTTCGTCTGCAGTTGTTTTTGGTTTAGTTTGTTCCCCTCACTCAGTGCGTCTGCACAGAGGAAATGGTAAATCACTACTCTGGGCAGCAGCCAATCAGGTTTTATTCCAACAGCCACTCTGTGCTATGCTTACTGTAAATTGTTAGTACATACAGTAGGAGAGGTGCAGCCGACAACAGAGGCTGCTTACAACTCAGTTATCATGAATTTGGCTTTGAGATCATGTGTGGGATTTCTGCAGAAGTCCAAAACGAAGCCATAATGTGCAGGAGAACAGGCAGCGAGACAGTCTGAAGGAACAGGACGGTGTTCCTGATGTTAGTGGTCAGTTCATAAATGTGGGTCGAATCAAGCAGAAAATGTATGCAAAAACACGGGGCTCTAGGAGTGGAGTCAAATGGGAAACACACCTTGACCTTTGACCCTTATGTCTTCATGCAGCCTTCATCCTGTTCTGTACATGTGCTGATGTTTTGGTTCTGACGGGATGTGAGGACTGTGCGGAGGACTCTTCTGCTGTTTGTGGTTTTTCTTTTCTCTTTGTACCTTTATCGGAGGGAGAGTGCTGAAACCGAGCTGTTGGATCCTTACGATTCCTCTGCGTCTGCGGCAGTGATGACTTTTTTAAGCAGATTTGGTCCCGATGTGAGCTTTGTAATATTTCCTCTCAAAAAAGAAATTGAATTGTCAAGTTTGTAGCAAATGCTAATGTGTGTAAAGAAAACTGCAGAAGTGGAATATTGAAAACTTTTAGTTTTGGTTTGTTTGTTTTTAATTTTGTACATCTGAGGTGTGTAACTCTGTTAATGAGGAGACTGCGCTAACAGGCTACTGTACGTGTGAAGCATCTCTCCTTCATCGGGTGGGTGGACTGCTTCTTTTAACCAGGACTGACCTTCAAAAGGGACAGGGTGTGGATTTTTTTAATGATGGAGAGACAAACATGCCACAAGTGAAACTTTTTCTCAAGTGTTTTTTATTCCGATGTCTCTGTATCCTTTAATGTATCTTGATAAGAAAAAAAATAAAGATTTTTTTTTTCTTCGTGGTCAGACATCTTTCACATCTGCTGCCTCACATCAAACAGCTGGAGCTTTTCACACTGTCAGCCTGATTGTGGTTTTGTTCTCTTGGTACACAGCAAAGGCCTCCTCTTGGAAATGTTTCAAGCATTTCTCCATTTTTATACTTTGACATGTAAAGAGCATAGAGTCCTGACCCACACGCCACATGGGGAGCTTACAGACACAGCGGCCGACCCCATTCTGACCTACACTGTTGTCATGTTTCTTTTTATCCAGTTTAGTCTGACAGGACCCCGCTGTGTGTTCTTGCTTCTGCTTCTCTGTGACGTCCTGGAGGTCATGACTGACTGCAAACTGGTCCAAGCAAAAATGTGACAAACATACGAAAAATAGGAAATCAGGGCAAACACATTTTCACACCACTGTAAATAAAAACCTCAAAGGTGCCATTTGGATATAAAGTGTCAGTTTTAGCAATGACTTCAGTCATTTCTTCATCAGGACCATAGATTTCTGATCATGGCACATTTTTGTAATTTCCCTTCTGTATATCACCACAGACGGGTTTAAATGAAACAGCTTGTGACTGAAGTGCAGACTTCCAGCTTTAATCGCTGATGGGGTTCTGAGCTCGCTCAGGTTTTCTCGAAACCTTGTGAATGTGATCAGTTGAGAACGAGAGTTTCCACAGTGACACCTTGATCGGCAGCACAGGCTCAAAAGTAATTAGCTCACTGACAAGCAGCTTCATGGCCAGGTGAGGCGTGTTCCTTTGCTCTTTAATAATAAATGCAACAGATTAAAGAGATGTTAATGCGATAGCCAGCGCCAACCTCTGATGCCGACAGCTTTGGTAGTTAAACAGTCTTTTTGCTCTTACAGAGAACGAAGCCACGGGCCAGCTTAGCAACATCCCAAACACCCTGAAAGAAAACTGAAGTGGTGATCACAGAATTCTTTCTTTGGTTAAGGAAAAAGCTTCAGTGGGACCTTTAAACAGGCCCATGCAGAGTAGAAGACAGAGTTCTGTACATGTGAGCTGAAGCAAAGATTCAGCACTGATAGCAGAGATGGGTTATTTCTGCTAAACAATGCAATACTGCAAAACACATTCATTTCACCTATAAATAATAATAATACATTTTTGAGGGTGCTTTTCAAGAACCCAAGGTCACCTTACAAAGAACAAAATAAAATGAGCAATAGTCATAAAATAAGTTAAAATTGCAACACAGAACTTGACAACAGATAAAATCAGCTTTCTTATGGCTGGAGGAGAGTTCCAGAGCCCAGGAGCAGAGGCACTGAAGGCTCTGCTCCCCACAGGGAGAAGACGTCCGGAACAGTAAGATGAATAGTAGATGAGGATCTGAGAGGGCGGGAAACAGTGGTGATATGAAGCAGTATGTCATGATTTATGAGATGAATCATCACTTTGTATATTCTGGACATTTTAATGACCACTAAATCACTCTGATCATTTACTTTCCACACGTTCCAGCTTTTCCCAAAAAACTGGTGGCTTTTGGGGAGAGCACTTAGGGCCAAATGAAGAAAAAGAATTGTGTCAATTTTGAGATTAAAGTCGAAATTTCGACATTAAACTACAAATAGTATATCGGACTGGACGTGTGGAAATATTTTTGATGCCTGCACCTCAGAACGCCACAGTAAAGACGATGTTGCTTGCAACAACTTGCTAGAAGCAGCCTGCTGCAGACACTGAAGGATCTGAGCCTTCATCGAGAGTAAAGCTGGCTCAGGCCTTTTTTGTTGGCAGACCACTCCAGCTTGTGATCCAGATGAACTCCCAGATACTTCTGGACTTGACTATTTTGACATCAATCCCACCAATGCAGACAGGGATCTGCTTCTGCCAAAGTCCAGCACCAGCTCCTTTGTTTTGGCCACAGTCAGCTGCAGGTGGTTCACCTCACACCACCTCAGTGATCAATCAGTCCTGTGTACTCCTTTTCTCTTCCCATCTCCATGCTTCCAATAATGGGCGTGTCATCAGAGGATTCCTGGAGGAGACAGGTTTCTGTGACGTACTAGAAGCCTGCACAACTTTGACTGTTTTCAAGTATTGGTTTTCGGCATCACAGGGAAATAATGAGAGCCTTGGTTGGAGGGCACGGAGCAGGAAAAACCTGCAGCAGACACCAGAACCATCACATAAACCAGAGTTTTAGATTTTCTGCAGTGTTTTCACTCAGATCAGCTCAGCCGCATGAAATATTTCACTAGTTTCACCAGAAACATGAGAGAATTTGTCAGTGCCCAAGGAAATGTCCAAAGGTGCTTAGTTAGACTCTGAGTGGAAAGACTTTGTACACTGACCTTCAGATGGCTTTAATGTTCAGACCTGTAGCAGAGATCAGGCTCTGGTCTTTAGGAGCAGGGCTGTGTTCCAATAACCTGTAGAAAGGTTCCTAACAGAGACGTGACCCAGAAGGACTTGTGTGGCGTCTATAATAAGAGTGTTCCAATACTCCAAATATTAAGGAAAGGCGCTTTAGTGCTTCCTTTATTGCTCCTTTAGCAAAGATACAGAGGACCATCATTAATCCACAGTAATGGACCATAGCTGAAAACAGCAACATAACAAAGTGGAGCAGAAAGCTTAACTAACTGCATTTTCATTCCATGCAATAACCTGCTGGTGTAATTAAAGTTTTTAGCATCAAATGCACAGCTGAAGTCTGAACATCACACTGGTGGAATAAAAACTACTTCCTGTTTCGTTGTTGCTGCATGAACGCAAAATGTTGTATGATGTAAATCAGGGGTGTCAGCCCTACTTAATCCACGGTTACCAACCGGCCCACAGCAAAGCGCTCCCTGCAGACGTCATTGTGACGTAGAGCCGAGCGCACCTGAGCAGCGTTTGTGCTGAGAGGCTGAGCGGAGGTTTAAATGACAGCCGCGCAGCGCGTGCTTCGGTGCTCGTGACCCAGGGACAGCAGGCGCGTGGAGGCTCGTGGCCTTGTTGACGGTGCAGGTTTCATTGGTTTCTGTTCGTCAGACGCAGTTTCTCACCCCCCACAGCCTTACACGCAGCTCTGCATTTGCAGCCATGTTTAAGGTAACCGCAGCACCTTTTAGCGCCTCCACATGTAGCTGCTCCTTGTCCTACACACATGCTTCAATTACCCACTTCAAGAAGTGAAGTGGGTAATTGAAGCATGTGTGTAGTTATCAGGATCGGGGGTCTACGGTTATTCCTGAAGGTCTGTGAAGCAGCAGAGCTTTTATATCAGCGTGCGCTTTTTATCCCATGGTGAGAATAGTTGGTTCTGTGAAACTAGTTTGATTTTTCAAACAAGTGGTTGCAGTGCGTGCTGGTCCATGACCCTGGTTGCTTTTCTTGTACTGGGGTCCTGCTGGTAGGACTAACTTAGCCACAGATCTAAGTTTGTTTTTTTAAATATATAAAAGTAACAACAATTGTGCCTCCTTAGCTGAATCCTGCTGATAGACTTAAACTGTAAGTTACATGAATTCAGACAATTTCATACTGCCACAAAGTTACTGTGAGCTTATTTAGCTCAGTGTGCTTTTGCAGCAATTGCGGTAACCAGCCTGGCTGAGGACGGTGAGGGTCAGTCTATGCAGGTCAGACTTTAGGAAGTACCCCTCGGGTCTCTTTGACACATGGGGTGCAGCCAGTTCTAAAGCATGACTCTGCTTAGATTGCAAAACAAATGTGAGTTACGCTCAGCTGGCTGTCCTAAAGAAAAGTTCTCTGGTTTGTATCTGCTACGTTTGAGTTTACTGTCCATCTGGTTGTAATTATGTGAGTGTTTTTCTTAAAGTGGAATAGCAAAGTTGAAGAGCTGACTGGCTCCCTATCAAAGCTGGTTATTCAGTTCCTGTGGTCTGTGTCCTGCGGTCACTTTTGAAAGACTTCATGTATGCTGACCATGTCCTGATGAGATTTGTCATTTGCACTTAAACTGCTGTCATTTCAGTGGAGAACCCGGTACATTGTATATAGTCTATATTTATAGCTATACAATCTGTTTTTAGACATTAAATCCCATCATTTTAAGCAGATGTTGAAATTGCTTTCCAATATCAAGCACCTTGAGGTGACTCTTGTGATTTGGTGCTATACAGTGAAAATTATCAGAAAGACCAGGCAGAACTCGATACATGTTTAAACCGCTGACTTCTCTCTTTACAGACCAGTAGCAAAGACTTGTTTCTGCCTTCACCTGAGCTACTGGACAGCATGCAGTCTGTGGAGGAATCTGACGGTGACTGTGGTGGAAGCGCCGTATCGTTGGCCGAAGCCCTGCTCCCTGTGACGGAGTCCTCACCACCTCCAATCCCCTGGGTCTGCTCAACCCGCTACAAGACGGAGCTCTGCACCACTTACTCAGATGATGGTTTCTGCAAGTATGCCGAGCGCTGCCAGTTTGCCCACGGCCTCCACGAACTCCACGTTCCCTCACACCATCCAAAGTACAAGACCGAGTTGTGTCGCAGCTACCACACAGATGGCTACTGCTACTATGGCAACCGTTGCCTGTTTGTCCACAGTCCCACAGAGCAACGCCCCACCCTCCGTCGTCGCAGGAACGTCCCGTGCCGCACCTTCCGTGCCTTTGGGATTTGTCCCTTTGGAACCCGCTGTAACTTCCTGCATGTGGAGGGTAAAGATGAAGACGGCCGTCACGATTTGGCCAGTGTTGGTGAAAAGACCGCATTTGTGCAAAAGCCCAATGGGTGGAAACCTCGAGGGGCTCTGTGCCGCACCTTCAGCACCTTTGGTTTCTGCCTGTACGGAACCCGCTGTCACTTCCAGCACGGCCTCCCTAACAGGATAAAAACCTCCAGTCAACACAATGGGTTGCTGTCCACATGCGCGTCACGTTTGCCTTCTGCATCAGATTCTTCAGCCTCATCATCTCCTCCACCCACCACCCCAGAAGCACTAGCACACAATGCTTTCACCTTCTCCAGTCAGCACTTAAATGATCTGCTCCTGCCACTGGCCCTCCACCTGCAGAAGCTGGAGAGCACGAAGGCCCAGGATATCTGGGCCAACAGGATGCTCTAAACTGCTGCTGAACACTTTCTTTTTTTCTTTTTTTAATATGTAATTCCCCCCACTTTACCCCAAGGGTTTTTTTTTTGTATATATGTTCCAATTGACTTGAGCTTGTTTCAGAAGGCCCAAGCAGGCCTTGGCAAACATGACTATTCAGTCATGGATCAGTCTGGAGTAGCTCTGGAAAGAGAATCTTACAGGTGCAGCTATATGTGTAATATTTTTAATTGTACATGGCTATATGTCTGCCCAAAGCACTGTAAATAAACCATGTTGCTTTTTTTACTAACTGCTGTGTTTGTGTGTTTGGCTGGGCTGGATTAAAGTTGTGGGGTGACTGACAGAAGTCCAGTAGCTGCCTTTTCAAGCACAAGCGAGGCTGGCGTTTGTCAGTCTTAATCAGCAGCTGCTGAAACTGTCTTAAAACTCCGAAGCTTCCTTCCAATAAAGAATGGGATGGTTGGCTGGGACCGTGCTCATGGGACCAAAGACAAGAGTCTTGGGCTCAAACTGAAAGTTGGCCTATAATCAGCTCTGGCTGGTGTACGTCCGGGTTAGTTTAATGTGGAGGCGATGGTGAAATGTTTATACTAGACCTCCGTATAGGACGTCTAAAGAGTATTTTAAAGAGACACGACCTTCAACCAACCAATCCCGTCTACTGATACTCTGCGGCCAATCACTGGCCTTAACCTCCTGGTACAGAGCGTCAACAGGTAGACTTGGGAGGGTAAAGGTAGCTCGAGGCTGTAAGCATAGAGCTAAATCTTTTTAGGCTTTAGTTAAATTGCACCTCTGAGCTGTTTCGTCAGGACGATATTGTGAGACAGTAAACTGGACCTCGCTGCCTTATTTTGAAGGGTACAGCGGATGTCTTGGTCATGATTGCTAGCTTGATGTTATGGAGCTGCTAGTGTATCGGACAGCTACCCTGGTGTGAACTTTATTTCAGGCGCTAAAGACCTCCAGTCCCCCTTTGTTCCAGTTTAGAAGGTAAAGTCTAACGTTGCATGATACTGGGAAGGCCTGGTGTTGTTCTGTCCTCCTTCTGATGCTAGCTTTTAGCATCATGTATTTTAGCTAACTGTAGCTGTATTTAGCTGTATTTGATGCGACAGTTTTATAAAGACACAACGGTCATTTCATTCGTTACTGTATTGTAATAGGTTTGTTATCGTGGTTTCTTTCAAAGTGCGGTGGTTTCTTCCAGCTAACTGAATAAAACCAGAGTTGACTTTGTTAGCATGCTGAATGAGTGCGGTGGTTCGGAGAAACCACGGGCCACAGCTGAAAAAGGTCCCCAATACGTGACGGTCCGCAGTGAAGACGTTTATAGACGAGAAAACGTTTTGGGAAGCACACACGTATGTTTTAGCTAACCCTGTAGTGTGTACCCGAGGACACGTGAAGTTCCGTAAAGCTTTACCGCCAAACGCGGTGTTTTGCTGTGAGATGCGGAGAAGGCATGAACGTAACGTGATCTTTCTTGCTAGTTTGAGTGATTTCGGTGAACATGGCGGACCGGGAGGAGCGCCGGTTCGCCGAGGTTTCCCGGGAGTCTGTCAGACTGATGGCGGAGGGCGCAGGTGTGGAGCTCGGTGACGATGTGGCGGCTCTGCTGGCCGAGGACGTGTGTTACCGACTCAGGGAGGCCACGCAGGTCAGTGATGCCTGGATGCATAGATAATGTTCTGACTTTGGGAGAAGTTCGTGTTAGGTGTACGTGGTAATGTTTTGCTGTCCCCAACAGAGCAGCTCTCAGTTTATGAGACATGCCAAGAGGAGGAAGCTGACGGTGGAGGACTTCAACAGAGCTCTGCGCTGGAGCAACGTGGAGGTAGCGTGTAATTTCCATATCCGATCTCCCTCAGGTGATAGCATGTCTGATGTGAGGGAACTCCTTCATGTTTCTGTCTCTGTTCTTTACCAGGCCATCTGCGGCTATGGAGCCCAGGATGCGCTGCCTTTCCGTTCAGTGAAAGAAGGCGAGCTCTTCTTTGTTGAGGATCGGGACGTCAATCTGGTCGAGCTGGCGCTGGCTACCAACATCCCCAAAGGCTGTGCTGAGACCATGGTGCGAGGTACGCTACGCTGCTATGTTCCACAGACAGGCTCATCCTCTATGCTCTGTCATATCCATATTCACGTGATGAGTTTACTAATGATGTTTCATGTTTGCCTGCAGTCAATGTGTCATACCTGGATGGTAAAGGTAACCTGGAGCCTCAGGGTACAGGTGAGACGCACAGCAGGCATAACCTAACCCACAGTTGTTGTACTTGGACCTGTAGATAGAATAAAGTAGCTAATACTCTAAAAACTGAGCTCCACCTTTCACTGAGAGCATCATTGTTATCCTGTTAGAAAATCTCAGTGTTTGTCTGTGTTAAACTGTCCCAGTTCCTACAGCAGTACAGTCTCTGTCAGATGACTTACTGAAGTACTACCAGCAGATCACAAGGGCCATCTTAGGAGAGGACCCGCATCTCATGAAGGTGAGCTGCTACAGACAGAGCAGACTTTTTGTTGTGAACAGGCTAAACGACGCTTGTGTGTGTTTCAGGTGGCTCTGCTGGACCTCCAGTCTAACTCCAAGATTGCAGCCCTGCTTCCGTACTTTGTTTATGTCATCAGTGGAGTAAGTTTTAGGGTTACACAAATCAGCATTTATGATTCTCATCACCAGTTTTGTTAGGAATGCTTGGTGTGTTTAGTAAGAGAAAATATCGTAGCATGACACATGAATCAGACCTATCTCATAACTGGAAGCGCTTTTAACTCTACACGGTAACCTACGTGACCTCGGCTTGAGTGGCGTCGAAGGTTCTGATTATGTCGTCAGTTAGGATGTAGATTTCCTGAACCTGTTGACCGGTGTTTCAGCTGATCATGGATTCGGTTTGTCTTCCAGGTAAAGTCGGTAAGCCACGACCTGGAGCAGCTTAACAGACTAATGCACATGGTGAAGAGCCTGGTCCAGAATCCCTACCTGTACCTGGGCTCGTATGTACGCAGCCTGGTCTCCAGTGTCATGTACTGCATCCTAGAGCCACTGGCAGCCTCCATTAACCCACTCAACGACCACTGGACTCTCAGGGACTACGCTGCCCTGCTCCTCAGCCACATCTTTTGGTGAGCAGATTTTCCGTGGATGCTTAGGCAAGCTTGGACTAAAATTGTTAGCCAGTCAGGATTTAACATCAGTGTTGAGAATTCAAAACTACTGTAGCGTTAGCCTGTTTTACAGTAAATATGGAGCATCAAAGAACCTGTGTTGCTACAATGTTACCAGTCTGACTAATGTTAGCAGGCTGTTGCTAAGGGCAACATTAACATTCACTCGGCGTTTGCGTTAAAAATGGAAATCCAACAGTCGCTCTTCTTTCTGGTGTTTCTTCTGCAGGACTCATGGTGATCTGGTAAGTGGTCTCTACCACCAGATCGTGCTTTCGCTCCAGAAGGTTCTGTCTGACCCAGTGAGACCACTGTGCTCCCACTATGGAGCTGTTGTGGGCCTTCATGCTTTGGGATGGAAGGTATGGCCACAGCTTCTACATTAGTAAATATTTGACAGTTATAGATTAGATTGGGCCCATGTTCAGTCGATATTTTCAAACAAATCATTCCCTAAATGAAAAATCTCACATCTTGATTATTTAGCTGTGAAATATTTGCAAACCTGCATGCCGTTACTGTTTTTATTGCTGTTGAGTGCTCCACTGCTACCCTCCTGCGTCCTGAATGCTCCTCTCTCTGTGTTCACCTGTTTCTGCTGGCAGGCTGTCGAGCGCGTCCTCTTTCCACACCTTCCTGCGTACTGGGCCAACCTCCAGGCTGTGTTAGATGATTACTCTGTGTCCAACGCCCAGGTGAAAGCTGACGGACACAAGGTCTACGGAGCCATCCTGGTCAGTACTGCTGCTGCTTTGGGTGATTTCAGACACTGATAGACTGTCATTCGTCAACTTAATGAAGTATTTAAGTGTAGAAAATTACTTTAAAAACAGAATGAGGTTAAGCTTGATTGGTTGGTCTGAAGGTCCACTGGAGTCAACTTCCACATCTGCTCCAGCTGTTCCTCTTTGTGCTCGTTCTGATGTTGCTGTGAGCTGCAGTTGCCACATGTGCCGCATGTCCAGCAGCTTTTTGAATCTCTGTTATGGAGAATTAAGGCAAAAGTGGGGCCGACCTGGTACTAGCAAGGTGTACCTAATAAAACGGCTTGTGACAATATACAAACTTAGTTCTGGGAGCCATAAAATAACGAATTATTGTCAAATATATTGAGTAGTTAGCAATGTTGCCTCACAGCAGGAAGCTTCCTGGTTTAAACCTCAGCTTGGCTCGTTGTGCGTGCAGTTTCCTCTGTAGCTGAGTTACAGCTTCCTCCCACAGTCCACACACATGCAGGTCGGGTTAACTGGCCCTGGATCAGGGATTGTTCTATATGCTTCAAGAACTTCAAAGTAGTGTGTGGTTAATGTTGATTTAATGAAGATGTTGAGCCCCAAATTTGTGCTGAGGATAACTAACAGATGAGCTCAAGCTTGACATTATGCCTAATGATGCTTGTGATTAAAAACCAATTAAATCATAATTTGAGTTCATCTTGTCCCACCTACGTCGCCACTTCCTCTCTTTGTCCTGCAGGTGGCAGTGGAGCGCCTGCTAAAGATGAAGGCGCTGTCTCTGTCGCAGTCAGCAGAGGGACAGTCCGGTGCTCATCCGGGTTCTGTGGTGGGAGCTGCGAGCTACAGGGTGAACTCTCCGGGACTCAGCCCACCTCCAGAGCCTCTGTCAGAAGCTGCCCTTGGAATTGCCAGCCACCTCCAGGTGGGTGGGGCCGGCTGTCACTGGGAGGAGTGGACCCCCGTCCCTCTCCCCGCCATGTACTGTGAGCTTTACTCCTTCTTCGGCGACAGCCTGGCTGTCCGCTTTAGCACAGGACCAGGATTTGGCACCCACTCGCCCTGCGCTCCATCCCAGCTTAGTGACTCCAGGAAGGAACCTCCTGGCCCCGCCTCCAACCTCGACACCACCCGGAAGATGCCACAGCTCACCGCCAACCTCAACATCAGCCCCAGGCAGGACGGGAGTCCGCGCACCGATCCACCTCCGCCGAGTCTTTCAGGCACAGGGTCAGTTAGGTAAAGCAACCAGAGGAGCACCTATCTGTCTTTGTGTGTCTGTGTGTGTGTTTGTGCTGATTTATTTTTGTGTGTCTACCCAGGGCTGTGCCTCGTGCCTCGTCTATGCAGCGCTCCAAATCCTCCTCATCATGTTCACGCCAACGTTCAGCTGGTCTGTCTCGTGAAGTGTTCCCCAAAGCTCGCTTCACCTCACCTCAGACCACACCTCCTGCATTTTCCTTTCTTATTGGTGGGCGGCAAATGGGCCAGCGTTGTCAAGGCCGCCGCCCTTTCCAGACAATGTTTGCAACAACTCCGCCTGTTTCTGCTGTTCCACCACGTACCTATGCACACAAACTGCCCGTCATCGGCAGGGTGGGCAAACCTGTACGTCGCTGGACATGCTCACATTACTCCCTTCACCTGCCTCTATAGTGTGTGTGTGTGTGTGTGTGTGTGTGTGTGTGTGTGTGTGTGAGCTAACATTAGTCTGACTGCTGCAGACTCTTCCAGGCACACGTTGCTCTGATTAAGCTGCTGGAGTTTTTAGGGGATGTTGTCAGTAAAGAGGCCACACAGGGCTAAGCTGCCACTCACATGTATGAACATACAGATGAGGCCCAAAGAGATTCTAAACATGCTAATTAAACAGCTAGTCAGTATCTGAATGTCAGCATCTGGGAATGAGAGCATGAAATGTAACACGTGACAGCTTGTTGGGCCTCTGCTGCCTTGCACGTCTCCACAGTTACTGCCGGGCCTGTTTAGCCTCAGCTCACTCATGCTGGTGGGAAATCTTTACTGCAGTCGCCAAATGATCATTCTGCCAATATTTCATTACTGCTTCATTTTTTAATTAATCTGTTATTCTTGTAACAAATCTATTTGTTTACTCAGTTTTGGTCCCTGTAAAAAGCAACAGCTGGATGTGCTGCATGCATGTCAGGACCAGCACGTTTGGATCACAGCACCGACGTGTCTGCTGCACTTTCATTGGAGAATGGACAAAATCCTGCGATGTGTGTGGAGCAGAGGGAGCTGTGATCTTCCCTAAATAAATCTTTCAAGTTGACACGTTTTTCCATCATTTAGTTTTTTCCACTGTTTGATGTTTTCCTGAAACTCTTGTTTAGCTTGTGCTAGTGTCGATTAAACTCATAATATCAGTGAATACCTGCTGAGGACAATGTTGGAGCAAGATGGGATATGTTGTTAATGACTGTTTTTCATAGACTGAATAAATATTTACTTGTTGCTGATGTTAGGAGACGGGTCAGAGGTCACATCTGTGCTGCCTCCCACAGTAGATCACTGCTGGTGTATTAGCTATGATGCTACATGCTACCCTCTGAACAGATACTTCTTTTTCTTTTTTCTTTTCTATGAAGAAACAGCATCAAGTAGAATGCAGGAGAGCAGGTGTGTCTGATATGTTGTTTTCCCCGTGGGCGCCCGCTCGGGGTAGGAGGAGTCAAACGACTGTTCTGTGCTGGCACTGAGCACCAGCGTGACCTGATTTAGTCAGAAACACCATCGTTTGCATTGGTTCCTCTTGCTTCTGAAGAAGGTGAGTGTTTGCCTTCCAGTGTGATAGTTCCTGGTCTGTCAGTGCAGTCGAGCCAAACCGACTTTAATGTAAAGAAGACAAAAACAAACATGCCATCCAGCAGCTCCTGGTCATATAGTAATAAAAGATCAACTGAAGACGAGAGAAAATGTAAACGTCATCCTTGCAGAGGTGAGAAGTAAAGCAGTGTGTTTACAGCAGAAGATTATAAATTGTTATTTATTCCATGTACAAAAAAGCACGGGGAGCCGTGCACATTCAATCTCCAATGAAAACATGAACAAGTTTCTTTTTTTTAACTGTCAATTAAGAATCTTAGGTTGTTCAAATTAATAGCCGTGTCTACATTTTCATGTACAAACTGGAATATTTTCAGTATGAGCTGAAAATGAAGTGAGCATTTAGCTTTTCCTTTAAGCTCTGAACTAATATTTAGTTGTGTAACCATTATCTCTGATCACTGCTTTGCATCTGTGTAGCATGCACTCCACTGACATTTGACACCTGCGAACAGAAACTGCAGGCTGACTGCACTACGCTCCACAGATCTTCTGCAGTCTTTGGTTTTGCATCAAAAGCAGAATTTTTGAGGTCAATCCACAAATTCTCTATCGGATTGATGTCCGGGCATTGCACAGGCCACTTCATGACATCAATCTTTTTGGTCTGCAACCAGGATGTTGTGCGCTTGCTGATGTGTTTGGGGTCCTTGTGCTGAAACACCCATTTTAAGGGCATTTTTTTCCTCAGCGTAAGGCAATATGACCTCTTCCAGTATTTTTAGGTACTGAAACTGGTCCCTGGTGCCCGTTATGCGATAAATGGGCCCCAAACCACTGTGCTTGCACCTCCATGTTTTACAACCTTCACAGTGTACTGTGGCTTGTGTTCAGGCTCGTGGTTGGGGGTCGTCTCACGAACTGCCTGCGGCCTTTACACCCAATGAGAACACTCTTGCTTGTGTGTCCACAGAATATTTCACCACTTCTCTTCAGTCGGGTCGTTGTGTTCTTTGGCAAACTTTTCAATACATGTCTTTATTTCAGCAGTGGTACTTTATGAGCGTTTCTCATATTTATTATTTCGCACATAAATGTACTTTGTTGCTATATGTTAAGTAGAATTTTCAGGTACCTGTACTTTACTTGGGCAGTTTTATATTTCTTAAATCTTTTTATTTTTACTCCCCAGATTTTTAAGCAAATCTCTGTACTTGTTTAAAAATCTGTAATATCTGTACTTTCTACTCACGTTTTCAAAACAGACTCGTTTGGCCGACTTTGGCACAACATCGGAACGATATAGAAGGCATTTAGTTATTTAATCATTCATTAAGTGCAATCTGTTTGAATTTAACTTTAAATGTTTGTTTATTATTATTTAGGTTATTTTTTATTTTGCTTTGTACTTTTGGCGAAGCCGAAGTACCCGGAGAGAAGCCGTGCAGACGCAGGAAGAACATGCAAGGCTTAAGCTACGAAGCAACAGTGCTGACCATTGTGTCATTATTCCAACCAAGGATAACCAAGCACCGTTTTTATAGCTGTGATGCACCAGAGCTGATGTAACTCTACTGTTTATATAGAAAGTATATAAATGACCCCCGTGCTGAAAAACACATTACAAGAAAGTGTTGATTTTCATGTCGTAGTGTTAAATGTGGTTTTGATCTTCAAATAAACATAAATGAATACAAACTTCTCCTTAGTTGGTCAGCAGGCCTGCACACGTCTCAGGAGAGCTTCTGGCCCACTCCTCTTCACAGAGGCTCTCAGGCCTGTAGGTTCCTGGCTGCCACTTGACTGACCTTCATGTGCTTGGTGGTCATGCTGGACTCAGGATTCTTTATTTGTCACGTGCATGGTTATACAGATATAACATGCAGTGAAATGTGACCTGATACGCTCCACTGTGCAAAAAAAGAGAGACGCATCTTCAGTGTTGTGGCTGAGGCAAGGAGGTTGGCGTTCACATCAATCCTCCGTCAAATCAACGGTACGCAGTGCAAGAGTTACACGCTTTACACATTCAGAGGGAAATGTCAAGCATACACATTTAATCTCTGTAATATTCTGGATATTTATAATTGAGCTAATAGCATATATTTGAGTTTCTGTTATATTTTAACTTTGTAATATATTTGACTATTTCTTTTATTTCAGTCTGTTGCTGTTCTTGTTGTCTTGGAGCAACTGCAACCACATCATTTCCTTAGGGAATAATAAAGTTTCTGATTCTTTCACGATATATAGCGCCACCCACTGGTCTCTCGGTGAACTTGTATCCTTGAAAACAGCACCAATGCTTCCCCCCTGAATGCTTGACTGTTGGGATGCTGTTCTTTGGGTCACGTGCAGCATTTCTGTTGAGTCGATGCCAAAGCGCTAAACTTTGCTTTCATCTGACCGCATCACTTTCTCGCTTCTCTGGATTATTTAGATGTTTCCTGGCAAACTGAAGCAGCGCCTGCAGGTACAGGACATAGTGTGTTAGCAGTGGTGGTGACTATGGTTCTGACTGCCTTTAACAGAATCACTAACAAACCCCTGCTGTGTAGTTTTGGGCTGATCCAGCACCATCATCATCTTCACCCTGCAGTCAGTATCAGCTGTGTCAGCTGACCCTCCTTAGCATTGCCCCCGAGCTCCCTGCTCCACTCCCCTACACCCCGCCACACATACAGATCAACCTTTATACAATGTGTTTTTTATTTTCCAGATTTTTGGTTAATATTCGTTTTCTTACCATTAAAATGAAACTACCACAATAACTAAATGCTATTTATTTCTTTTTTAGAGCTCCTGTTTGAGGAATATTGCAAATTCAGCAGGGATCAAATAGTTATTACAGTGAACTTGTTCGTGTCACTTGTTCCACATGTTACATCCTTGTTCCAAAATGGAATAAATTAATTTTTCACCTCAAAATTCCACAAACAATATCCCACAGTGACAAAGTGAAGACAGTTTAAAGCTCTTGTAGAGTGATTAAAAATAAAAAACATTTTTTGTGGACTGTAAGGGCCCCTAGACTGAGGCTCTCTTTATTGCAACAGTTTACCTCTGATGGGGGTCTTTCCCTACCAAATGTTTTAATGTACTACTGGTCTTCACATATTCATAAGCTGACCTACTGGCTAAATTCACCCAACCTGATTTGGTGTAAACTTGAGATTCAATCAATTTCTCCATATTGTTCTCCTGCCTCCCTTATCTCTTCATCATTAAAACATCTTCTGTTGCTTCAAATCCCGCGGTGCTCTCTGCACTTTAGATCTGGTTTCAGTTCAGGTCGCATTTTAAATTCATATCCTCCTCTACCAGGTTACCATTGTTAAGGAATCCTCTATTTTCCCCTGACACTACTAGCCATATGTGAGAAAGAGGCACAAAGACCATGAGAGCCCTTTACAAAGATGATGTCCTTCTGAGTTTCTCAGAGCTCAAAATTATACCTACCTCCTTCTCACTGTTTCTCTATTTGCAAATTAGACACTGTTCTCATCACTGTTTCCAAATTTCCCATTCTCCCTGCTGATCCTCATGGGTTGACCTTCTGCTTTTTAGGCCTAATCAAAAATCACCTCTATCAAATATATATTGTATGCTTATGGGACCGAATCTGACTCATCAGGTAAAATCAGAACCGCTGGGAGTGTTTGAATCATGGTGGGATAAGGTGAATCTTATCATGCGTTGTTGTGCTACAGCTTTACTTTAAAGTAATAAACAGAGTTCTTTCTCAAACTTTTTCCTTCAGTTATAATCGTGACCTCTCCTTGCAATCTAAGCCATGTTTTGTTCTTCTGTCCAAGTTTTGGAGTGAATTATTTTCTGTACTTTCAGGGTTTTTTGGAATTCAGATCCTTGAAGACCTCTAATTGCATATTTGGAGTTCCAAGACTCCTCTTAATATACTCCCCAGCAAACAGATCTTGGCTTTTTGTTCCCTTCTTGCTAGACGCTGTATTTTACTTCTTTGGAAATCTCCCACGCCTCCATCTGCATTGCAATGGCTTAATACTGTCCGGACATTCTTGAGGGTGGAGAAGATCTCACTCACAGTGAAAGGTAGTTCTGCTAAATTTATCCACAAGTGGAGACCCTTTGTGGAATATCTCAAATCTTTTCCTTAGACAATGCAATTTACCCACCACTAGATTGAAAAGAATTTGAAATTTACTTTTTTTTAAGGTAGGCATAGGATTTAAGCACCCCCCCCCCTTCTATTCTTTTATTATTTTATTTTATTTATATTGTTTATTTTAATTTTTTATTATTATTATTTATTTTATTTAATTTTCTAATTTACTCACTTTTTTTCTTTTTTTTTTCTCAATTTTCTGTTCTTGTGTTGGTATGATGTTTTTTGTATTTTAATTTGTCTTTTGTTTAACAAGAAAAAGTTCAAATGATTGGGAAAGAAATGTTTGAGAAAATATGTCATGTAAGATGCATACAATACAATGTATGTAAGTTTGCATAATCTCTTGATGAACAAATAAAAAAATTAAATTAAATAAAAAACAAAAATATAACGTGCACATGTATTTACAGAGTTTGCTGAATACTTTGTTGAAGCAGTATTATTTAATGAAACTACAGATTTGTAACTCCATAATTAGAAAACTGCCATTTACATGAACAAACTGGAGTCCATTGAAATCACTGCAGCACAATTGTTGAACTTGTCTGTTA